GTTTTAGATGAAGAGATTATTTCATTTGTTTGAAGATGACACAGCAGTGAATACATTATCTGGCCCTACTTTATAATTCAGGATACCCGTATGGGCTTAACATAGGATATATTACATTTATTAACTAGTCAACAGGCATGAAAAGAGTAACAGTGAGGTTTGTTGGAGAAGAGGCAGAAATTTCTGTATGGTATTAAATGCAACTTGAGTAGTTTGGAGGTTTCAACAATTTGACAATGATTTGTGTTCCATACTGCATCTATTCCTATTTTACTTCTGCTTGGGATTACTAGTTTTTCTCTTTTAAAACTCCTTGCACTCCCTAGCTTGCCCCTTCTCCCAAAAGACAGGGTGGTGAAACAAGCACAAAATTGTTACCCTTGATCCTGGCAGCAGTTGGGGGCAGCCTCCATCCAGAGTTAATATCTAAACATCCTCTTTTAAACATTCACTTAATTTGATCTCATCTGCTCAAAATTTCTTGTTGCTCTTAGTGTAAATCAAGCAGTGAATATTCTTTACCACACTTAGAATGTGACAGTACACACTTGTGTCCAGTTGATTAACTTGGATCCTTTAGAGGAAGCTCCAGAGTGTGTCATTACACAAATTGCCTGTATTTTTTCTAGATATTATTTATTAATCTGTATTGGACTTGTAAGGGGCTTGTATTATAAGGACTGGCTATAAACAGGTTTTTATTTGAATTGACAGGTTTCTTTTGGCTTCATTTTATTTGGGTAGGGGATATTCCAGCTAAGTGCTTGTTAATTTAGTTGATAACTAAATTATATTAGTTGATAACTAAAATATATTATTCTGTCTCTGTACACAGTGGATGAGGGGTTCTAAGAATTGTTTAAACATGTGTTAGGTTGGTGAGTAGTTTTTGCACATACCCGAAAACAGCAAAAAAAACAATTACGTTTGCACCAACCTAATTTACCAGCAGGGTTTCCAATTAGATGAGTTTTCCTAGGTGTCACTGAGGGCTGAACTTGGAAACAGTGCATTTGCTACACTGTTCCCCACACTGGCTAGAATTGTTGTTGTAATGGGTTTGCTACCATGTATGTAGACATAATAAAGTGGATTATGACAGTAGCCCTGCTCCTGATATTATAAACTCTTTAATGTAGTTATAAACGTATTAGCAATAAATTTAAATTTAAAAAGCTTTAAGATGAGCATACTGAGTTCCATTTTGGAAGGAAAGAGTTTTCAGATTTGAAACATCTTTAGTGGTTTTCTAGTTAAATGATGTATTTAAGTTCTGAAATAGGTTGTTTGTGATTTTAACAGATTGATTTAATAGTTATAGAAACTTCTTGGATCTTAAAAAGTGTTAGCATGTTAATTCATAATTAGGAAACATGAATTGTAAATACTATCCAGCTTTTTACTATACCAGAATGATTTAGTTGTTTTCATAGAATTTATACGTTATGGACCAATTCTCCCCATACGTAGTGACTTTAAATAATTTTACCTGCGTTTTTATTCTTTACATTATTAACTTGCTCCCATAATTTAAAAGATAAACGATTTTCTAAAACAGTTTGTGATAGAAAATAAAGGGTGTTTCAATTAAAGTTTCAATTCTTTGTTTTTGAGACAGTTTTGATCTTGTTGCCCAGGCTGGAGTGCAGTATGGCAGATGTTGGCTCACTGCAACCTCTGCCTCCCGGGTTCAAGTGATTCTTTTGCCTCAGCCTCCCAAGTAGCTTGAAGTAACAGGCATGTGCCAGCACGCCC